AAAAAAAAAAAAAAAAATCCAGAGTTGCCACCATTGGTTTGATTTGGGTAAGCTGTTCACTTTGTTTGTTTGTTTGTTTGTTTGTTTTTTGGTACCGGGGGATAGAACTTTGGACCTTGTGCTTACAAAGCAGGCAGCAGCATCACTGAGCTAAATCCCCAGCTAACTGTTCACTTCAAACCAATCGCTGAAGACAGAGAGAGGTGGTATTCTGGTTGGCCAGGTCTGGATCACATACCCCCTAGATAGGGTAAGCTTTATTTTATCCATATTGATGAAGGAGGGATAGATGAGTCCTCCACCTGGCCAGACCTCCAAGTCATTTTGCATTCCCTGGATACACAGTCCTGAGAGAGAGAGAGAGAAACTTTCTTGAGTTTAGGTCTCTCTGACTATAGTATGGCAGGAAGAGGTGCATCTAGTCTGTTAGGCTTCCGTAGTGGGAGATGGCCTCTAGAAATCGCCTTTTCACCTAGGGAAGGGTGACACACAGAAAAAAACTGAGTGGCTAGAGGAAAAGGGAATAGACAGCAATTGTCTGAATGCCCATGAGGGAGCTGCTTTGATCCCAGCAGGCCACATGCATCCTCTCACACTCTCTACAAGGCACCCTGGGCTCACCTCGTTCCCCATCTCACACGCTGCACAACCGCCCTGTGGATTACTGTATTACTCACTTGCCCCAGGAGCCCTTTTCTCCCTGTTCCACCTGAAAAGCCGTGCACATCAGCAGAGCTGTTCTCCAGCAGAGCTGGCTTCTCCCCAGGAGGAAGGAGCCAGTGTGAGTCTGGCCCTGGGACAAGGTCTATCCTCAGGTGCAATCAAAAACTGACAAAAGTGCTTTCACTTTAATGAGCTCCTCCTATATTTCATAGTTTTGCTTTCATCACGGACTTAACAGCTGCCGTTCCAACCTGTTCCCTTTTAAATCGGTGGTGAAAGAGCTGTCCTAATCCTCCTGCCTTCCTTTTGCAAGAAGTCTTCAAACAGCTTGCTTCTTTGTAGCAGAATTAGTAAACTGCTAACATTCTGCCTTCATTTTTCATAACTTACCTTGTGTCAGTGAGGACTCCTTGGATAAAGGGTCAGAAGTCTATTCAAATTGGTTTTATTGGCTCATATAATAAAACTTTTTTTTTTTTTTTTGGTGCTATGGATAAAACCCAGTGCCTTGCATATGCTATGCAATACCCTGAGCTGAGCTACACTCTCAGACTGGATGATTGAGAAGTACTCTAAAAAAAAAAAAAAAAAAAGACAGAGTCTTGCCTTGCTGTGTAATACAGGCTGGCCTTGGATTCACAGTCTTCTTTCTCAGCCTCCCAAATACTGGGATAATAGATATGTGCCACCACACTCAGCTATAACTAAGAAGTCTAAAGGGACCAAATGCAATAGTACATGCTTGTAATCCCAGGTATTCAGGAGGATCACAAGTTCAAGGCCTGCATAGACAATTTAGCAAAATCCCAGCTCAAAATTTAAAAATTATTATTATTATCATTATTATTATTATTATTATTATTATTATTATTATTTTGATACAGGTTCTCTCTATGTAGTCCATGTTGGTCTTGAACTCATTATGGAGCCCAGGCTAACCTCAGACTCAGGGCAAGCCCCCTGTCTCAGCCTCCCAAGTGCTGGGATTACAGGTGTGCACGACCACGACCAACTTCAAAGTAAAAAAGTTTAAAGGGGTTAGGGATGTGGTAGATGAGTCCCTGGTTCTAGTGTACATTCAAGCTCTCAATATCATCAGAAATCAACCATTTCTCAAATGTTGCATAACAAATTACTCCAAAATTTATGGCTTAAAACAACAGCATCTGATGACCATTTCTCAGTTTCTGATGGCCAGGAATTGAGGAGCAGTTTAGCTGGATGATTATAGCTTGAGGTCTGCTATGGTTTGTACATGACTGAATGTTCCCCAAGGGTCCATGTATTGGTTCCCAGCATGACTGTGGTACTGGGAAAAGGCGTGGGCCTTTGGGTGATGTAGACTTTGTCACAAGACGTTGCTCTTGAGGTGGATTACGGAATATTCTAGTAGAATTTTAGTTCTCATGTAAGTGTTGTTAGAGGCAAGCCTGGCCTCTCCTCCTATCTCTGGCTTTATGGATCAACAGGCAATCACTGGCTCCCATACAGGTGCCACCATTGCCATCCTCCAGAAGGTGACACAGCTAAGGAGAACCCTCATGAAAGCCTAGGCCTTACGCCATGCTGTTTGGACGTTTGGCCTCCAAAAACTGAAAGTTAAACAAATCACTTGACTTCATAAGTTATATTCAGGTATTTTATTTTAATAATAGAAAGCTAATACAAGGCCCCTGGTGAGATTGCAAGCTATATGTCAGTCAAGGCTGCAGCATTCAAATGGGAGTCTGCATGCTGCCTGAGTATTCCCCCATAGTGAATGATCCAAGTATCAAGATGGAAACTTCAGGCTGGGCATGGTGGCTCACTCCTGTAATCCCAGCACTCGGGAGGCTGAGGCAGGAGGATCACTGAGTTCGAGACCTGAGTTCCAGGTCAGTCTCAATTACATAGTGAGACCTTGTCTCAAAAAAAAAAAGATGGAAACTTCAATGCCTTTTACAACTTGGGCTTGGAAGTCTAAAACCATCACTTCTGCAAATTCTACTGGACACACAGTACAGCTCTGGCTCAATGTGAAAAGGGGCTATACAAAGGTATGGATCCCAGGAGGTGAAAATAGAGCAGGGCAGTCTTAGAGGCTTCCTGCCACAGCATTCCTCTCTCCTTCTTTCCCTGGTTGCTTTATTTTCCTATGTGTAGGTTTCATTTGCAGGCAGACCAAACACACACACACACACACACACACACACACACACACGCACGCACACGCACGCACACACATGTACACAGCATCAAAAGTTACAGAGGAGATCCCAACAATGAATGTAACTGTACTGTATCCCTAAAATGTACCAATAAACTCAATTAAAGCTGAAAAAAAAAGTTACAGAAGGCCGGGCATGGGGGTACACACCTGTAACCCCAGCACTTGGGAGGCTGAGGCATGAGGATTGCTGTGAGTTCGAGATCAGCCTGGGCTACATAGTGAGCTCCATCCAGGTCAGTCTCAACCACATAGTGAGACCCCATCTCAAAAAACCAAAAAAAAGGACAAAGAAGGCCATTAATATGTACAGCCCTATAGCCCTGCAGCCTACAGTCTAGTCTACCTGCTTACTGATGCAAGTGGAAAGAAGTACCTCTTTCCCTAAAGTTCTGGCAAAAGTCCCAAGGCAGACTGGTTGGCCTAATTTGTTTTTACGCTTATCTCTGAACCAATCATTGTGGCCTAGAGATGCCATACTCTGATTGGCTAGACTCAAGCCCATGTTATGTGCTAACTGGCCAGACATAGGCCATATTTCCCAGCCCTAGAGGCCTGTGGAGGAGGTGAGGAAAGGATAGTTCCTTACCAGAAAATCAAGGTGTCACCATTGAACCAGAATGAATGCTGGGCAGGAAAACACTATATGTTCACTTCTTCCTTCTCTTTATGCTCCAACTATACCTTTTAGTGCATTAGTTTAGCACTTTTTTTCATGGCATTGGTAGAATTCTGAGAGGGCCTTAAGATCTCCATCCCCATTTATATGCACTTTCTCCCAGTTATTCAATTAATGATCCAAGTTTTCTGCAAAACAGGTTTTGTGCGTGCGTGCGTGTGTGTGTGTGTGTGTGTGTGTGTGTGTGTGGTTCTAGGCACAAGCTGAGGTTCACAGGCTAGGCAAGTATTTTACCACTAAGCCAACACCCCCAGCCCTTCTGTAAAATATATTTTGCAAATGGAATTAAGGTCTCCATCAGTTGACCTTAAAATAGGAAGATTATCCTTGGTGGGCCATGCCCAATCAGTTTCCCCCAGCAAAATGTATTCAAAGTATGAGAGATTCAACACAAGGGAGAGCTTCTTTTGGCTTTGAAGTTGAAGGGAACACATGGAAGAAATACAGGTGACATCTAGGGGGTAAGGGTGGCCCCCCTGGGTGATAACCTGCAGGGGAACTCAGCACTACAACAAGGAACTGCATTCTGTCAATAACCTGAAAGAGCTCAGCAGTGACTCTTCCCCAGAGCCCCCAAAGAACTCAGTCTTGGACTGGGGATTTAGCTCAGTAAGTGCTTCATAAGTGTAAGGTCCTGAGTTCAATCCCCAGTACCAAAAAAAAAAAAAAAAAAAAAAAAAAAAAAACCAG